CTAATATGAAGACCAAAAATATTGAAAATTTAGGAAATTGACAGATTTTTATAAAATTTGATACCAGAGATACTTTTAATTCTGATGTCGCCTGAGCTCTTACCCCCTACTTTTTGAAATCTTGATATGAAAAAGTCAAACTATTACCAGCATTGGAATATCTCTTAATCACCATTTCTTTGTTGATTGGGACGAAACAGTGATTTCTCAGAATCTCTGAAACTGGTGGAGCTACATCAAATCATTTTTCAAAAATCTTTTAGTCTTTTGGTGTCTCTTTGTCATTATATGACAGTATACTAATGGGCATTCTTTCTCAACGTTACACCCATGCTGTTTCGTCCCAATCAACAAAGAAATGGTGATTAAGAGATATTCCAATGCTGGTAATAGTTCGACTTTTTCATATCAAGATTTCAGAAAGTAGGGGGTAAGAGCTCAGGCGACATCAGAATCAGAGGTATCTCTAGTATCAAGTTTTATAAAAATCTGTCAATTTCCTAAATTTTCAATATTTTTGGTCTTCATATTAGATCTGACATTTTTAGTTTTTGAAATCCGACTTAAGATTTGTATTTAGCTGGCCGTAAAACTCTCTGTTCAAATTTTATAAAACTCCTTTACTTTTAAAAATTTTTCAATTTTTTAGTTGCCATATTAGATCCGCCATTTTGAATTTTTGAAATGCGACTTCAGATTCGTTATTAGCAACCCGAAAAAGTCCCTGATACCAAGTATTATAAAAATTCGTTAATTTCTAAAAATTTTCAAAATGTTTTGGTGGCCATATTGGATCCGCCATTTTAGTTTAGACTCATATGACAGTGCACAGATAAACAGAGTACTCGAAAGTGTTAATTGGAAGAGAAAAACGTCGAATGAATAATCGCTACACTTGAATAATTACCGTTTTTATTATTTTTTTCGATTTTCTGAAATTTTAAGTATGATTCAATTGAATTTGATAATTTTGCCACGCGCCATTGGAAAGCTTACATTTTTCTGTAAATTTTAAGATTTTTTTAAAAATTTTTAGATTAAATAGAAAATGGGCAGCATGGGTGTAAAGTTGAGAAAGAATGCCCATATATATATATATATATATATATACTACTATATATTACATAATATATTATATATGTATACAGATATATTCACGGACACGGAATGTATAGTGTGATTATCCGTGCCAGAAGAAATAACTTTTTCCTCTGGCAAAATTGTGTCTGAACATTACTTTTTAAATGAGAGCAACTTTAAGCTAACGAATAAGCGCACTATTCTGTTCAATGAGAGAGTAACCTCGATCTGCGCATAGGAGAAGTATAGCGGACAAAGTGAGGAGAGCATTGGCATTGACAAGCTGCACGAGCAGTACAGTCCTGTAGAGTGAGGGGGCTACTGAGTGTTCCGTGAGGGGAAACCTGCGCCGAACGAGTTTTCGTCCGATCCGAGGTTACTCTCTCGTTGGACAGAGTATAGGTTCAATACCACCTATAGACAAAGCCTCTCCATTGAAATCGTGACGTCATCACTAGTAGGCCATTTGCTATTTTACTCTCAAGTGTTAAGTACGAGGGGAAAAGTTTTGAGCCTCAATACGAAGATGGCATTACTCGTCAAAACCATTTCGGTATTACAATCGTATATGCTTTGAAAGATAACTGTGAAAATTGTAAACATTTTGTACGCTCAGTTATTGTTTGACGGTCATTTGTGCCAGTCGATGTCAGTATTTTCGTAAAAATGGAAAAAAACGAATATCGTGCCGTAATTAAATTCTTGCATTTAAAAGGCAATACACCTATGGAAATTAAAGCCGAGTTAAACGCTGTCGGTTTTAATTTCCATAGGCGTATTGCCTTTCAAATGCAAGAATTTAATTACGGCACGATATTCGTTTTTTCCATTTTTACAAAAATACTGACATCGACTGGCACAAATGACCATCAAACAATAACTGAGCATACAAAATGTTTACAATTTTCACAGTTATCTTTCAAAGCATATACGATTGTAATATCGAAATGGTTTTGATGAGTAATGCCATTTTCGTATTGAGGCTCAAAACTTTTCAGACGACCCTCGTATGTGCGATTAAACTTTTAATTAAAGTTTTTTATTGTAAACTTTTTTTAAAAATAAATATATACTTGGGTTAAAAAATAAGGAAACCAATTTAAAGATTATTAAATTACTCTTTATTAAATAATAATAGTAAACTCTTTGGTATTATTTAACCAGTTGAGTGGTAATGTATCATATATGTACAAAAAAAAGTGCCAAACGTGGTAATGTATCATATATGTACATTTTTAAATAACTCTAATAATTTTCAACAGATTTGCACAAAACTTGATATCCTAAGGTTTTTTGGGCTGCTAAATTCGAATCTGTTGTCAAAATTGCAAAATTCAAAATGGCGGATCCAATATGGCGACTGTTAATTGTTAAAACGACTAAAATATTGGAGTTAGGTAAAATATGTACAAGACCTTATTTGTAGAGTTTTTTATGAGCTTCATTTTTTGTTTGACAACTTTTTCCGTACAATGAATACTTTCTGAAATAATTAACAAAAACAGTTTTATTTTTGAACCTTTAAGGGGGGCTGGGGGGCGGAGGGGACACTTGCGCCAAAAATCCATTTGGGAATATTATTTACTAGATAAAATAAGTATTTAGGCTGAATATAAGCCAAATCGGAGGTGATAGCTTTTCGGAAGTCCACCCCCCTTTTTTGATCCACCTCCATTTTTTACTAGAAAGACGTAGTAAACATTTTCAAAAATCATTGTTCTTGTCTTGAAACGCCCTTTCAAATGATCCCCACTCGACCCATAGTGCCATTTAACATTTTTCCACCCCTATTCTGCCCCCCCCCCCCCAGGGGGGGGGGGAGGATTTTACACCCATTCTAAAAAGTTGCTTTTCGAAAACTTGACCATGTTTCACTGTTTTTCGATATTTTAACTTTTGGCTCTTACCACTTTTGACACAAATCTTTCGGAAAAGTCTACCACTCAACTGGTTAAAGCAAAAAAAAAAAATAATAATAATTTGGTAAAACAGCTTTGGTTTACGTCCTTTTTGGTTTAATTCTTTTGCAGTCTGGCATTATTTTTGTTTTTATGACATTATTTTGTCTTTTTATGTAATTATTTAATAGGATGTTAGAGAATATATGTGTAATTTTTGTAATTAACATTTGAATTGAATGCTTTGAACAACAGTATCCTGAAAAAAGTAAGTCACGTATAATTTCGAATGCTAGAGTCTTTAAAATTTGACGTTTTTTTGTATGAGAAAATCGTGTTCATTTTCAAGTAATTTTTGCACAATTAGGAAAGTATATGCTGCACACGTAATATCTTCGTTGGGATAACATAAACCTCCTTGATTGTTTGCTGCTATTAAAGTAGAAAAATTTATTATCTTGTCTCCAATTTGAAAAACTTTGCAGTATTTGCATTTGAATTTTTTTATCGCTGAATATGAAGCGTATCCTGCTACATAAGTATACGAGAAGTGGCCAAGTATTGTCTTCGATATTGTTAAGGTCTTCATCAATAAGGCATTTCTTAATAATACGAGTATATTTTCTAATCGAAAATCAATTTAAAATGTCAATGCATGTTTTTAGAAAATGTTATAAATTAATATAAAGTTTTCTATCCAGATAGGAAAGCATGCAGAACAATTTTAGCTTCATTTTTATTCGAAATATCCAATAATTTAATTTGTTGCAATAAAAAGTCTATAACCGGCTTTCGTTCAGATAATGTTGTCGACAATGAATTTAAAATATTGATACAGGTATTTAAATTCTCCTTCACCGAACAGTCTTGATATTTTTCTTCCAAAGATGTTAAGGCTTGGCCGAGAATATCTTCAATTTCTATGACATTGCTTACTACCAATGGAAATTTGAGTTTCTTCTCATTCAAATATTTAACTTCCCTTGATCCATAAAATAAAGTGACGGTGAAATTCTCCGACACTCGCGCACAACACTTAACGTTTGGATACAATGTATCTTCTACATAAAACAAATAAATAGTTCTGTCTTTGTGCGAAATTATCCACTTCTGTATATCAATGCAATCCTTCAATTTCGCATACAGCTCTTCTAGCGTAGAAAATCCGTTTTTCTCATGAAACTCCTTTCTCGATTCTATGCTGCTTGCAATGGCTTGCTCGATCATCGCATACTGCATCTTTAAACGTTTTTTTTCTGGGCCTTCTCGATGAAGTACTTCACTTTTTGTTAAGTATTGAGGACAGTTTGGCAACTGACTTGGAACAGCGTCTGTAATAAAAAAATAATGCAATGAGAAAAGGAAATGTTCCGTTGTCTCGTTATGGGGAATATTGAGTTCCAAGCGTTAATATTAGTATAATAATAGTATTTATAACTTTATGGAATTCATAAATATAACTGAAATACATATATTTATAAAATCAATACACTTTATTCTTCGAAAAAAAGATGTCTATTACGTTGTGTTATCTTAATCAGAACAATAACAAAAAACATGTAACCGAGATAAACACAATTAGAATATTAAAATATTTTGGCTGTAAAATTTTTTGAAATTATTTTTAAACACTCACCTTTAATTAAATGTGGGTATCGCAATGGAGCAGTCAACAATTTCCCATTAGCTTTGTCATAATGGCTCGTTTTCCGTTTAATTTCGTGAGAATGAAAATGTAACTCGCATACCTAAAGATAAACAAAAACAAATGTAATGCATAAGGTTTTGTCTTAAGACTATTTATAGATTAACGAATTGATCGTTAACATATTATTTATAATATTAATTTTATTTACAAATATATTGAATTAACTTACTTTTGAACTATTTGTAGGACAAAAATTCTGTCTACAAATAGCACGCAACCATTTCCTTTTTATTTCCTCATTTTTCGGAAAAGAAAACATTGCGACCTTTGGCCCATTTTTGTAGTTGCCATTACAATTTGGCACACAACATTTGAAAGGCATTGCTATAAAACAACTACATAATTTTAATAATAAAAAAGTATGATCCAAATCTAACCTATTATGGTCAGTTTTCTAAATACGTTCATAATTCGGTAATTTAATAAGATTATGACTTACCTTAATAATACCTGGGAATTACAGGCATTCATCAACTATCCACAACAAAAAATTTTAGTCACAACACTCCAAACTATTGAAAAATTCGCGTTATTATCGTGAAACTCAATGTAAAGTTTAGAAACTGAAAGATAAATAGTCTGTTGATGACGTCAGACCCTTGTCCAAATGAAGTAGAGAGGCCTTAGGTCTGTTCTTTATAGCTGAACTAGTGCAGCCAGTTCCTTGCAGTCTCCTTCCAATATGAAGGGGAAAAAATAAACTCTGAACTAGTGTCACTCTGAACTAGCCAGTTCAGCTATAAAGAACAGACCTCTTGTCTATAGGTGGTGTTGATAGATTACGCATGAATCAGGGGCGGCGCGCGCTGTTACGAGCGTATAGCTACGTAATAGATTATTTAAAATAAGTCGGGACACGTTTGTGGAAAAAGTCTTTATTCGGTGTTGCTGGTTTGAGCTTTGATCGAGAACTGAACTGGCGAGAATGATCTTCGTTTAAGGTGCTGTAGGAAAAGAGCGGCGGAATGTTTATTGGAAGGAGGCGGTTTTGTCAAAAGGAAAATATGCGTTAGGCATAGGGACAGCGTTTATGTTTATTGCAGTTATCGAAGGGTCATGTGTTTAGGATCAAGAAGGAGTAAAGATAAAAAAAGGTTCAAAGGTTCGAATAAAAAGAGTAATCTAAGAAACTATAAGTTGCGGCACGTAACAGTGCACGGCGTGCGTGGCGCGTGATGGTGTACGCTATTTTACTATTTCGCTAAAGATTTTGTAAGAACTATGCATGATATCTAAATATCGCTATTTTGAATGTTTACTTAATAAGAGAACACTTTCTAATTGATATCAGTCGAAGCAACGACTGAAAATAAAATAAACAGATTAAATAACACGTAAATAATTTTGATTTAAGATTTTTATTCTAACGTTCTAAAAGTGTTTGTAGCCTTGAAAAGGGTCGATTAAATGTTTTAAAGCAGCGCTCGGAATTAGTTGCACATTTCGGGCCGATTCAGGAAACGACGCCTCCTGTTCCTCCACTACCGCCCGGCCGCTGGCGGCCGAGCCGCCAATAGCGTGCCGAGCCACGCATGCCGTGCTCTGATTCATGCATAATCTAAAGCGCTTATTTGTTAGCTTAAAGTTGCTCTTATTTAAAAAGTAATGTTTAGACACAATTTTGAGAGGAAAAAGTTATTTTTTCTGGCACGGACAATCCACTGTACATTCCATGTCCGTGAATTCTGGGACACCCTGTATATAATATATTAATATATATATTTGTAATATACATGATATAGGCAATATACAGGGTGATTCAAAATAACCGTATGTCCTTAAAGGGACATATTCCTGAGCGTATTCTGAGACAACTTTTCCTTTGGCAAAAGTTTGTGCGGAGCTTAATTTTTAAATTATAAAAGAAAATAGTTAGCGTATCGTGAGTTGAGTACAAGAAACAAGCAGGGGCGCCGCAACTCACCGCTACACACGGGTGTTTACGTGAGGCGCCTGCTACAATCAGCTGACACTCACAAAAAGAAATCTGCGAGCAGTTGACCTGTTGACGGAGTAAAACGACTTGGTCGCTTTCCCATCGTTCGTCCTTACAGACCATTTAGCTCGAGGCGATCAAGCCCATTCACATTGATCGCAAAGTGTAAAATCTTTCTATCAGGACGTAACAATAGATTAATATATAAAGTATTATCATTAATAATGGTTGCATTGTTGCATTGCCCTGATAGCCAAGCATGTTTTGCAAAATCGTGCAACTTAATGCTGAGCATGAGTTTTCGACTAGTTGCTGTATATTTGCTAAAAACGTAATGCACAGTCATACGTATTCAACAACACGAGGGCAGATTTGAAACATTTCGTGTCAGCAGATTCAGAGCAAACGGAGAGCAACTGTTGCTCATTTTGTTGCCAACAAAATAACTTCTATTCATGGAAAACAGTTTGCTTTGTCATTCATTTTCGACAACATAAGAGCAACATGACGGTGATAGAAAAAGATAATGATGTCTGTATATGTCTTTTGTCGTATATTTTAAATATATTAATTTGTTAAAAATTGTTTAAATATGTTAATTGTGTCTTGTAACCAATATAAAATGTCGAAAATGACCTATCTTTGTGTATGTGTTTTTGCGAGTACGTGCAATTTAATAAATAAATAGGCGATACATCGACGATACTTGTGGCAAATTAACACAGCTTCGGTTTCTACCTATAGATATTTGCGGCAAGGTATATATATATATATAATAGATATGTAAAATAATAAATAAGTAAATTTTTCTTTCTAGTGATAACAAAAAAAAGATTTATTTACTTATTATTTTATATGTTTGAAAAGAGTAAGAGTGCAAAAAATATATTAACCGTTTTCGACACGCTGTTGAATTTTTGCTAAAATTTATGACTCGGCATGTGTTGTTGGCAACTTGCTGCCATTTTGCTCTTTATGTACAGCGATAAACCATTGACAGCAACACATGCTGAATTCATGTGATATCATACCAGAGGCAAATGACTCACACACCTTGTTCTGAATTTGCTGAAAACTAATGCCCTTTGTTTTCGGTAACGTGGCAGCAACAACACAGACAGATGGCTATCAGGGTGTAAATATAAAAACAGTTATTTTATATTATGTTGTAAAGTTGCATGAATTGGATTGTTTGGATTGTATTATAATTTTAAATACTGAGAGCATAAAAAATAAGTGATGGATAGATTTTCTAATAATTTCACAATTGTTAAAGTTTTTATGTTTTTGTCTCTAAATCACATTTCTATCTTATTTTAATTGCATTGGTCACTATGAGTAATATTGTGTGCAATACACAGATTTTCCCATTGTATATTTGTTTACAATATTAAATATTTCTTTTTCGATTACATTAGATGCCGAAAATAGAGAAAGAATGAAATCTTGGTAAGACTCTGATAATTTAACAATCAAAATAAAGAGTAAAGAAGCATAAGAGCTATAGTAGAATGTTAGTGCTAAATATGTAATGTAAAATGCAAAGTGAAAAGCCAATAATACGTGCATGTAACTCTTTATTTTTTAACTTGATTCTCCGATTTTGTTGTCGCTAGTTATTAAAATAGTTTTTATCGCTAAGTGTGTAACTTTTCAAAAGATTAAAACCAAGGCAAGTATTATATATCTAGTCGGAAACCGGAATAATTCCGTGTTTTGTTAGTTATTTTATTGAACATTTAAGATTCCAAAGATTCCAAAACTTTTTCCCCTCTATTATTTTTCTTTGCTGGTATTCCCTTCCTCCACCCTTATCCGCTATCTCTTCTTCATATCTCCTTCTCTTCCCTCCATGCCAATGTATGTCCAATGTTTTGTCTAATTGTCCAATGTTTTTTAAACAGTTTTAAAGATTTGCATGTTGTTGGTGGATATACATACCTGAAGGATCATGTTCAAGGCAATTCCCCATACATCAATACTGCAACAACTGGTTTCTGTTCGAATCTTTTTCCTAGTAATGCCTCCGGATGACAATCTAGACTTCCTAGACTTGGTGGCAGTTAACACAACTGTGAATTGCATTAAGGACCACGCCCAGATACCCAAAGTCAGGTACACGAGGACGGGTTCCCTCGCTATCCTATCTTCCTTGAAAGAATCAAAGAATTCGATAATGTCAGCTGCGGTGCCAATGTAGACTAATAGAAGTTGGCTCAGTTGATCGCGAGTTAAATCGCCTTTCGGTAACATCCATCGGCCGATTATAAGAATCAACATTAAAAATTGCTCAATCAGAGTGACCCATGTTTCTGTGGAAATCTGTATATCCGGTAAGTGAATATCAACCTGAAGTGTAAACAAAAAGAAATAAACTTTGAATTGTATAATAAATTTTAATAAAATTGTCTCTGCTATCTAATAATTGTATCTTATATATTATTTATAAATATCTCTTAATTATGAAAATTATTTAAAATTTTTAACATTTTTTTTAAAATTTGCAATAAATTCCATATATAATTCCATATATAAAAACAAAAAATAATAATTCCAGAAAAAAAGAAAAAAAACAGATTATCGTTAAAACAGGCCATAATTTCAATTTTTTTACTGTAAGATATATAGATAACATTTTTTTGTATGTTTAATGTTTTAATTTTTATTTTTTAAGTTAACTAATGACGTTTTTTAATATTGCTGAGACTTTTACCCGTATAAAACTTGATGTTCTTGCAACGTTCTTTATAACGTCCAAATGTTCACAGAAAGTAATGTTAGAAAGTTAACGTTTTATGTATGTACTATTGTACAATCTTGTTTTTAAACGTTATATAGCAAGGGCACACAACGTTTTAAAGGACTATGAAAATAACTTTATCGTAATGGCATTCGAGAGTTTTTGGTTGTAAAACGTGATGTAGCAGCTCATTAACTTGTCGTTTTTTTAGTAAGAGCAAATTCTTCATTGACTACTGCAAGACATTTTATCGTGCGCATTAGCACGCATTAGCATTATCGTGTTCTGTGTGCGAAAGCTATTACAGTATGCGGCTTAGATGTGAATGGCACTGAATAATCACGTAACACATATCACGTTATGAAAATATTTATATAAGGTAAGTTATAAAATAATTTTGTATTTTCTAATTAATCTGAACAGTTGAATTTAATATTCATTAATACATTATATCTGCATCATAATTTCCAAAGAAATAAAAAATGTAGATAAGCGAAATATAACCCCATCTCATTATTATCACTATTATCTTTAGTATCATTGTTTGTTGGTTATTCCTTGTTATAATTTTTTTTTGATTGATTAATATCATACAATAAAAAGCTAATATATGATACAGTTCAATTGTATATCTCAAATTTTTTGACACAAGCAATATTTTATTTTTAGCTGAACTCAAGACATTCACACATGTATTTTTAAAAGAAATAAAATGAAGAGGAAAAGAACAAAATAATTCTTAGCTTTTAGTAAAAGGCATTAAAATAGAATTTAATATCAGAAGTTGACTATTTCATGACGGATAAGTCAGATGAAACTAGTGTTAATATCAATACAAATATTATAAATAAACTATATCATAATATCTGTATAAGTACATTTGATGAAAGAAGTAATAGTATCGATACAATTACATTTGAAGAAAGTGATAATGCCAGAGCAAAAGTAAATTTATTGAAATAAGCAATGACTATTACAGTAATACGGATAATTCAAAAGACAAGAGCAGTGATATGTGAGATACAGATGTAATCAATTTGAATAATACTGATGCTAGTTTTTTAGATTTGGACAGTCAGTTTATTTTAAATCTTTTGCCTAATTCTCTTAACTTAAAAAAATTGACTAAAATCTCAAAATTGGGAGGGATGGGAAAAAATTTCGGAAAAAAATTTGAAAGTTTTGAAAATTTTAAGTACATAGAATACATGAAAAATCATATAACTTTTGTCCGAAACATTTTTTCATATCCCTTCCTGTTTTGATAATATTCACTTAGAAAAAAATCTGTTTTTTTTTTCAAAAGGGTGTATCACCTCTTTTAACCTTCGATTGGGCATGTATAAAAAAATATGTATAACCTAAAATTGTATGTTTTACAACATATTTCAAGGAGAATCAAAGCAGTGTCGGACGGTTTTCTTGTGAGGCAAACGTTTTTAATAAAAATAGTAAAAGAAGACAGACGTCCCCCGACTATTATTGTACCAAATCTACTATCCTTTTACAAAAAACTACACATTGGCACATGGGAAGATTCTCTCCATATGTTATACAGGGTGTTTCATAATGTCCGTGCCAATGTTCGTGTGCAGGTAAAGCGCAGTAAACTGAATAGAAAAATCCTTTACCGTTTTGCAATTTTTGCAATAATAATTGAGAGATTAATTAAAAAGGATTGACAAATAATAGCGCGTTGCGCGCGACCGTGGACCATACGCTCTAGGCGTGTAACTAGGTTATCGTATAACAACGACGATCGCACGGCAACGAAAAATAACAACGCATGGTGAGAGCGGAGGTAATTGGTACATGTGCAGCGGGCAAAGGCACGAGAGGCTGGACCGATCGATAATTTTCTCGTATCTTTCTTTTTCTTTCTTTTTATAAGTTTCTTTTATATTAATTCAAATAAAATTATTTTGTGTAAAGAAAATGTAGCGCTATCATTCCACACCACCTTGCGGTAGCATGGTGCATTTTTTAAAAAGTGGTTTCTTCTGTAGACCTAATCCACTCTCATAATTTAATGCAGAAACTGTTCGAAGTGGCTTCCTTGTTTCTCAATGCACAATTCTACCCTTCGTACAATATTGCGCGTCGCACGGTGCGCCATTTTCGGTGTGATAGTATTAAAGGCCACGAGAATCGCTTCGCGTACTTCATCTTTTATACCATCACGCCGATGCTCAACCAAATTCTTGATGTATCCCTGTATAAAAAAATTTAGAACATTAAGCTCTGGCGATCATGCCGGTCAAGTGATTGGGCCACCTCTATCCACTTTTTCGGATCGTATCGATGTAACGTACAATACACCGCAGATTGAGATAGACCGAGCGCACGAGCTGCACGGTGCACGCTGTTGCTGGGATATTTTTCAAACACATGCAAGATTCTTTCTTCATCATTTATGCGAAGTCGCCTTGCATCACAATTTTGGAAACTTGACAGGAAAATCCTGTCTGCTTCGCACGTCGTATACATCTATTGATTACTTGTCTCGATTGATATCTTTTACGCTCCAGGTGCACTAAGGAGTGCGATGTTTTTGTCTTAAAAATGTAAAGCATCATATGCTATTGTTTATTGTTGTAAGCTTTGTTACATTTCTTAGTTACGGTCATCTGATTGTTTATTAGATTTTCTTGCGAGAGATTAAAAACTGTGTCTGCGAAACGCGTCTCCATCAATTATGGCACAGTTTACTACTGAGGAATATTTCCAAATGATTGTCAGTTACGGAATGACCGGATAAAAATATCCGTGCAGCAACACGAACTTTCAGGGAGCGATTCCCGGAGCGCGAAAAATTTCCGTCAAGAAACGTAATCGATAGATGTGTGCAACGTGCGAGGGAGACAGGATTTCTCCTGCCAAATTTTCAAAATTATGGTGCACCAGGGCGTCTTCGCGCAAACGATGAAGAGAGAATTTTGCGTGCATTTAAGGAAAATTCCGGCAATAGCGTGCGCCGTACAGCTCGTGCGCTCGGTCTATCTCAATCTGCGATCGTACGTTACATCGATACCGTATCACTTCCAACGAGTGCAACAGCTTCTTCCAAGCAGGGGAAAATTTACCAATGGGCCAACATAGGCCATGGCCTAGGAGCCGCAGGCCCCAAGGGGGCCGCGCGACTGAAAAAATTTTTTGTAAAATTTATTTTTAATCTTTCCATTTCTTGAAACTTGTAGCACCAATTCAAAATAACCAATTAATAAAATTTTTCCAATCTGAAAATTATCTTTCGGATTACTTAATTATTAAATTATTTCAACTGTTTTACTAGCTTTACTGCTGGGCATTGAACTATATACCATACTGGAACGAGCACAGGCTACCCCCTCCATTCGACAAAACGGTCAGACAAGGCAATGACTCGGTACCGGATTTCTCTTTCTATCTTGTCTACTCTCGACTAATAGTAGCTGTGAACACGTGACCAAAACTGTTGGTTAGATAGAGAGATCCGGGTCCGAACAGCTAACTCCATCTGACCGGTCGAGAACAAAGGCGTGCTCGTTCCAGTATGGTATATATTTCAATGCTGCTGGGAGAAACGAAACGCAGCACCAGTAAATTTCACCGCTGCCAACTGAACTATTTTTACTGGCAGTAACCAAACTTATTTTCGAACACACTATTAGTATACATGGGTCGGTATTCATAATCCGTTCCTATATTCAAGATCAACTTAAGTAGGGACTTATATTCGCTCATTTTGTCAGACACAATCTGTATGTGACGAAGAGAGCGAATATAAGTCCGCACTTAAGATCTTGAATATAAGAACGGATTATGAATACCGCCCATGGACTCCGTATGACAACTTGAGAGTGATGGCAGCACAACTGAGGGAGACAAGAGTGAAACAAAAGAGTCCCTCTATCTCGCTCCCTCTCAGTTCTGCTGCCTTTACTAGTTTACACGGGAAATAATAGTGCTTGCGGGGTCCATGTATACTAAGTCCATGGTATCACGCATCACCGCAGAACCGCAGAACGTCGCACGTATTGACTCAGTCAAATTTTTTAATATAATACTCAAAATTTGATCTCAAGGATATAAAACTGTATGGTTATTGGTTGACGCATGTATTCATCTTTTTAATTCTTTTTAATCAGTTTAGAATATAATTAAGGTACGATATACCTGACCTGACTCCGATCTCCGATCTTTGAATAATAGTATTTTCTGCAAACTAAGATCATCCACGAGATTGAATCATGGATAAAAATGTGCATTTTGCAAGTGGTTCTTTCAAACGTAAATTGAAAAAAAAAGATAAAGTTCACGCAGAAACTATAAAAAAAATCCCAAAGTTGCAAACATTTTTTACCGTTTCAAAAGACTCCACTGGTAGCTTGCAAATACCAAATAACGATTGCGAAGTAGTTTCAATATCCAATTCAAGGCATTCAAGCTAAGAAAATTTAATAAATGATACTGAAAGTATTAACACATCCTCGGTATTTCCAGTAAACGAGATAGATTCAGAACTCGAATTGGGATTGGAAAGTAATAGTGCTAAGTCTGAACGTTCCAAAATGGTGTCTAATATTAAAGAAAATAATTTTGAATTTAAAATGGACCTTACAGATTCAGTTTTGTGGTCAGATGTAAACCCAAAAATAGTTGATTACATTATCAAACACAGTCCTACACATTTATCGGATGTAAGTGTATGTGATTTTACACAATCAAAACGTATTTATTCAGACAGGATCCGATATGCAAACAAACAAATAATGTTTACGCGACTTCAAAATGGAGAATTGAAAAAGCGAGAGTGGTTAATGTATTCGAACTCTACAGGGTGTTTCTACTGTATATTTAGTAAGCTTTTTCATGCAGGTACAAACTTTTTTACAAATGATTTTAATGACTGGAAAAATAGTCGAAGATTGAAAAAACATGAAAGAAGCCTCGAACATCGAAATAATACAAAAAGCTTTGTTTTTAGAAGTCATGCGTTAAATAAAATCGATTCTGCTCTTAATCGGCAATATTTAAAAGAAATTGATTACTGATACAAAGTTTTACAGCGTGTGGTAAGTGTAATAAAATTTCTTGGAATTCGTGGCTTGCCATTTCGTGGTGATGAAAGTAATGAAGTATTTGGTTCGATTAAAAACGTTAATTATTTCGGATTATGAGTTACTTGCTGAACATGATTAACTAAAAACTCATATTAAAACTCATGGTAACCCAGGAAGTGGCAAGACCAGCTATCTGTCAAAAACGACTTGCAATAAATTCATTGATATAATTTACAATAGAGTAGTTTAAACAATAGTTGATGAACTAAAGTCAACAAAATATTATTCTATAAGCGTAGATTCTACCCCAGATATCACACATGCTGATCAGCTAACTTTTGTATTATGTTATACCCTAGATGATGGATCGCCTGTTGAACATTTTGTAAAATTTATTAGAATGTCCAATCACACTGCAGCAGAGATGGAAAAAATTGTATTAGATATTCTTTTCTTTTTGAAAATCTCACTCAAAGATATGAGAGGTCAGTCATACGACAATGCATCCAATATGTCTGGGAAATATGGAGGATTACAAGCTAAAATAAAAATGCACAATCCCCTTGCAATGTTTGTATCTTGTTCAAGTCATTCATTAAATCTTGTAGGTACATCAGCTGCAAACTGCTGTACTAAAGTAACAAAATTTTTCATGTTTGTGCAAAAGCTTTATGTTTTTTTTATTGCTTCTACATCAAGATGTATGATCGTTGAAAATAAAATTAAAGAAAGTAAAAGTAAACTTCTTCCAAAAAGATTGTCAGATACTCGGTGGTCAGCTAGGTATGATGCTTGCCAATCTTTATCGCAAAATTACTGGAACTTCTATGAAGCTTTGATAGAAATTAAAAATGACGAAACTGAAAAACCTGAAATTAAAATTGAAGCTGATGGGTTGTGTCGACAGTTCAAGAAGTTGGAGACTGCTTTATTACTTGTACTTTAGTCTGATATACTAGAACGCTTTCAGAGTACTAGTAAGACATTACAAAGTGTCTCAATTGATCTGGGTAATGTTATAAATTTGTACATTTCCCTTCAAGGTTATGTGACAGAACTAAGAAATCGGTTCGATTATTATGAACGTGAAGGCAAACAATTATCGAAGTCCGATTCTTATTACTTTGATTCAAAGAGGTCCAAAAACACCGATAACTCACAGAAGCTTAATGGTCAAAAAAATATGCGCGTTAATGTATTCTTTGTAATAATCGATAGATTAACAGCCGAAATTCAGAAAAGAGGAGAAGTTTACTCTCGGCTCAACCATGTCTTTCTCTACAAATTATAATATTAAAACTCACTCCAGAAGAAGCAAGAGAACATGCACAAGTGCTCATTACTAAGTATCCAAAAGATTTGGCTCCTAAATCTAGGATTTGGCTCCTAAATCTTTGGCCCCTAAATTGGTTGAAGAAATTGTCCACTTTTAAGAATTTGGCAAAGTATTGGAGTTGGATGAAAAAAACCATCACTTGCCAGAGACTTTTCTTAAAATTATTCGTAATAAACATCTAACAACACTATTTCCTAATTTCGACACAGCACTGAGAATATTTCTTAGTATTATGACATCTAACGCTTCTGGTAAAAGATCATTTAGCGTTTTAAAAAGAGTGAAAAACTTTTTCAGAAATGCGTCAACTGATCAGCGACTCTCTAGTTTAGCCAGTTTTGTTTCAAATACTGAACTAGTTAAGAATATTGATTGTGAGATTTTAATTAAAGAATTCATTGCTGCAAAAGCTAGAAAAGTTACTATATAAATACAATCGAAATATTTTAATAAACAAACACATAAAAAATATAAAATACAAAATGTAAAAAAAATAAAAATACAAAATACAAAAAAAAACATAACTTTGCCATTGACGGTCTCAAGCCCGTATGTGAAAAAAGAAGGGTTTCTTTTTAGGTATTTAAGGTTTTATTAGTTAGGTTAGGTAATTTTACGAAAAACGTATATTTTGCCCAAATTTTAAGGAGGAGGGGGGTCGCAAGCAAGACTGGCCTAAGGCCGCAGGAACCCTAAATCCCCCTCTACTTCCAAGAGATCAAGAACGGCGCATCTACTTTTGTGAAGGTATTTTAACCATCATTAGACATTTGCGACGCTTTTAGCATATATTATTTATAGGCATAACACGCACAGGATTCCTCGCGTAATGTCGGCGGAATATTAATTTCCCAGACCGTATTTTGTAGACAGACGAGGCCACTTTCACGCTAAATGACGTGTTTAATTCTAGAAGTTTTTTATTGTGGCAAGAAGAAAACCCGCACGCCGTTCGCGAGGACGCATATTCCAATATCGTTGGTCCATTAATGTCTGGGTAAAAATAATCGAGAATAGAGTGGTAAGTAGTAAATTAAAAAATTCTTCTCCCGTGGCTATTTCCAAATGTGTCTGTCGGCGAATTTCAAATCGGCCTATACTTTCTTCCGCCGCACCTTAGTGGACAAATTTACGCAGAGTTTTTACAAAATCAACTGCCGATACTCTTCGAAAACGTTCCTCTGCATGTACAAGCAGAATTAATTTATCAGCACGACGGAGCTCCTGCGCATTATTCGCGCCAGGTACGGCGAATATTAAACATGCGTTTTCCGGAAAAGTGGATGAATTGAGGTGGTCCAATCACTTGGCCGGCACGGTCGCCAGATCTTAATGTTCTCGATTTTTTTATACGGGGGTACATCAAGAATTTGATTGAGCATCGGCGTGATGGTATAAAAGATGAAGTACGCAAAGCAATTCTCGCGGTCTTTAATATTATCACACCGGAAATGGCGCACCGTGCAACGCGCAATATTGTACGAAGGACAGAATTGTGCATTGAGAAACAAGGAAACCACTTCGAACAGTTTCTGCATTAAATTATGAGAGTGGATTAGGTCTACAGGAGAAACCACTTTAAAAAAAATGCACCATGCTATCGTAAGGTGGTGTGGGTGATAGCGTTAGATCAAAAGACACGGTAGTGTCTCGCGCCAAGTTCACGCGCAGTGCAAGACCGACCGTGTATCTTTACGCGAGCCCGAAAGTTGAGACGAGCCGAGAT